CTCCATGTTATGCATTCAGCTAAATATTATTTTAACATAATTGGATAGTACCCCTGTACTTACTTGGAATTGTAGCTGTCTGCGGTTTGCTTCAAGTTCTCCTAAGTAAATTAAGTCTTACATCATAAGCAATAGACTATAAACTGGTGATGAGGTGCTAAGAGTAGCGTATCTTGCAAAAGGAGAACAAATGTTTATTGTTTACCGTAAGAAAATGAAAACTATGATAATACAACTGTTCATCTAAGTTTTTAGCCAACCAGCCAACAAAATCCTAAGGCTGAAGGACAGAGGTGTTCTAGAGGGCAGAATAAATGACCTACTCAGCTTCTAAGCAGAGGACTATATCATAGCAACAAAAGCATGGAGTACCTGTGTGTTTGGAAGTAATTTTATTGGTTTACGAGCAAAACACAACATAGAAGCATGTAAAAGCATGCCCTGGACTTGTTTGTGGACCCGCAGTCATGCCAACACTTGGATCCAAAAGATCATTTCCAGATGTTGACATGGCTGTATTTTGAGAGACAAAAGCAGACAGTCTTTCTGCTTTTGAAGATGGTTATTGTTGCAGAAAATGGAAACTAAAACACTTCTGGCAACACCACTGGCAAGGACAGAACAGGTGTACAGAATGACAGTCCAGGTCACGTTACTCTAAGAATGGCTCTAGTCAGAGCCATTCTTGCCATGTTACTGTTTTTTCCCCGCTATGGAATATTCAAGTTTGGTGCAATTAGTAGAAGAAGTTGGCCAGGGTATTTGCCTGCAGATGCTACTTCAAGATCACAGTTTCATCAGCAAAATGCTTTGTTTCACAACAAAGTTATTATAGTTATCCATAAAATGTTTCTGTCTCTCCACTTCATTGTGAGAAGCCCCTTAATGAAACATCTTTTGGTAATGACTACATAAGAATTCAGAGAACAGGAATTTTGGATGACTGTTTAAAGTCTGGGGGTTTCAACAATGTTGGCTGGATAACAAGTATAAGAAGCTGGGTGCTTTATCACACTCTCCCCAGTTTCAGTACTCAGCACGATAAAATGCAAAGATTATAAACTTTAGCCTTGTACTTATGAATGGTATTTCACCTGTGCCAGTACCAGAATTTATTCAGATTTTGGCAATTTCTTTTCTTTAGGATTTGGCTAGGTGCATGGCTGCTAGGAATTTTGGACAAATACGTCCCTGGATCCTGTGAATGACCATTAAAGCATAATTCCCTCCATAGTTCTTTCTCTGCTCAGTTACATTCCCTGAATGGGTGAGGCAAATAGAGTTATCAGGCAGGTAGTTTACTGTTTCCAGGGCTAGATGATGTTGCAAGGTGGAACAGGAAAAATCAATGGAATCACTATCCCATCGTCCCTTTCCCCTCCTTCTAGAGGAATATATTCTTGTGCTAGATTCCATTACTAAGTCTGTCCAATTATTCCTGAGATTGTGATGGTATTTTTGCCACAGTCTCTGCACATTGCCTAACATAAAAGGAGTCCACTCCTAATGGTTCCTTCCACATGCCTTCACAATAAGGGTGCTTCTGCATCAGGTGTAGCTAAAACTAGAAACGTGTTCTGTAAGTTGGTGGAGTTGAACTGAATAATCTCATCACGTTCTTAAAAAAAATCGAAAACCCCTGCACTGATTTCAATGCCATGGGTCATCTCTGTCTGCTGCCGGAACTTTACCTTGTATGGAATGCATCTACTTCCGTGAAGTTCTGATTTCCATCTGTTAGAGATAAAAAGGGATTTAGCCACAAAGTCATTCACTAAACAGAAACAATTTGAACTTATGCATCCAGCCCTAAAGTTTAGCTGTTAGTGGGAACCAAAAGCTCCTTTACACATCAGGTAAGTAGGCATGCAGTTAGTTACACAGCTTCATTATCATTTGTCTGCACCCACAGCTTTTGGAGGCTGTTCTGAAGTTCTGACTCTCACAGTGTGAATTTTAGATGATCAAGACATGCCTATTTTCTATCTGTCTGTGCATCTGTACCTATACAGGCATAATTCAGAGATCATGACTCTGCATATAAGTAACTACCTGGCTGTATTTTTTTAAAGAGTCTCTAAATAGTTACAATTTTATATTATTTAAAAATGCACGAGTGCTAAACTATTACAGACCTAAGGGTCTCCAGTAACAGAATGGACATAAAGCCAACAATGTGGGAACACTGGGGAATGTGCACATCTTGGGAGTGGGCAGAACTACAGACCTGCAGATGGTTAGGCCAAAATATGTATTCCTTTCACTTAACCAGTGGCCTATAAGATCACAACTTCTACTGCTGGAGATTAACTAACACATTATGAAAACTAGATACTATACCTTTGGTGGATAATATAGGTCTGCTATCCAACTGGACGTGGCCTGCAATTAGAAGAGGAGTCACATACACATATATTTTGCAAATTGCTTTATATATACAACATTACCTTTTCACATCTGTTTTTCACATGTTATTAAAGCCTTTTGCAAAAATAACATAGCTCTGTGTTGATGGAGGAGAAAAGTTCATAAAGACACCAGAATAAACTTGCAGAAATCTGGACTTGGCTTTAGAAGCTTAATGTTGAAGCACAGGAGGTTGGCTCAAAGGACTGTGTTATTTTTTACATTTAAGCTTCCCACTGGCAAATATCGATCAGCTGTGGTGTCTTACAGTTAATGCTCGTATCCTGAATGCACAAAAAAAAAAAAGCTATTTCTTTTGCTTGAAACATAACATGGAGATCAGACTAATGTTAGAATTGCTAAAAAATGAATGTTGATAGAACACTGCAACAACACCTGTGCTTCTGTTGATAACAGGGAGGCAGAAATCTTAAAGAGTCAATCTGTATATTAAATTTACACTGCATTCTTGCATATGGTAACTGAGATATGGCTTATGCTTTTGCTTTAACCTAAGAAGAGGGGGGCAAGGCACTCGCCCAAAAACAGATCATAAAATGTTATAGTTATTATCAGACTTTAGGACAGGAGATACTGTAATGTAGACACAGGAGGAACAGAATTTCTGGGCCAAAGGAAACTAGGGAAATATGGTTTTCCTGTTATTCAAATTCTGTTCAGTCAGTTCCTAGTCTGTAGCTTTTCACTGCCACTCTCATATCTTTATTGATGGTTTAGATGAGGGGATTGAGTCCACCATTTGCAAATTTTCAGATGACACCAAGTTGGGGGAGGGGGGGTGTCGATCAGCTGGAAGGCAGGAGGGCTCTGCAGAGGGACCTGGATAGGCTGGAGAGTTGGGCTGATTCCAGCGGGATGAGGTTCAACAAGGCCAAGTGCCGGGTCCTGCACTTTGGCCACAACAACCCCCTGCAGCGCTACAGGCTGGGCACAGAGTGGCTGGAGAGCAGCCAGGCGGAAAGGGACCTGGGAGTTTGGATTGACAGGAAGCTGAACATGAGCCAGCAGTGTGCCCAGGTGGCCAAGAAGGCCAATGGCATCCTGGCCTGGATCAGGAACAGTGTGGCCAGCAGGAGCAGGGAAGTGATCCTTCCCCTGTACTCTGCATTGGTGAGGCCACACCTTGAGTATTGTGTTCAGCTCTGGGCCCCTCAGTTCAGGAAGGACATTGAGGTGCTGGAGCAGGTCCAGAGAAGAGCAACCAGCTAGTGAAGGGACCTGAACACAAGTTCTATGAGGAGAGGCTGAGGGAGCTCAGGTTGTTTAGTCTGGAGGAGGCTCAGGGGTGACCTCATCACTCTCTGCAACTACCTGAGAGGAGGTTGTAGCCAGGTGGGGGTTGGTCTCTTCTCCCAGGCAGCCAGCAGTAAGACAAGAGGGCACGGGTTTAAGCTCTGTCAGGGAGGTTTAGGTTGGATATTAGGAAGAAATTCTTTATAGAGAGGGTAATCAGGCATTGGAATGGGCTGCCCAGGCAAGTGGTGGATTCCCCATCCCTGGAGGTTTTTAAGATGAGACTGGATGTGGCACGTAGTGCCATGGCCTAGTAACCACAGCAGTGTTGGGTCAAGGGTTGGACTTGATGCATCTCAGAGGTGTTTTCCAACCCGGCTGATTCTGTGAGTCTGTATTGCAGCTTCATTCAAGTAAACACTACTTGAATTACCATGATTCATGAAAGTTTTCTGCTTGTCTTACACAGCTTTGTTCTAAAACGTGATTGCTCTCAATGGGACTACTTGCCTTAGATCTCTCCTTGCTTCAGAGGAATCAAAAATCAGGTAATGCACCCAACCCCCCTAGTTTTGCTGCCCTCTCTTTCCTTGAACTCCTACTACACATCGGCGATCTTTCCCCGTCGCTCGCCCTGCGGCAGGACTTTCCCTTCGCCGGGGTGCGCTGGACTTTGCGTGCAGATCCATTTCCGCGCACATTCATTTCCGCGTCGGCCGCCGCCGTCTTTTGGCTCCGCACGTCCCACCTTCCCTGTTCCCTTTCTCCTCCGGACGGGATCCCCACGAGCGCCAGCAGCGCCCTCCGGGCAGCACTGCCACGCCACGGGTGCCCGTGGGGCCCCTCTCCCCGCAGCCCCTCGCAGACATCCCCATCCCGCTCCTCCGCCGCGCCGCTGGCTCCGGCAGGATCCCCCACCCCCATCCCCTGCGCCTTCCCCGCCGCCCACCCACCTGCCGAGAGCTCCGGTTCCGACATGATCGCGGACAAAGGAACCGCTGATGGAGCCGAGCCTAGCCGAGCCGTATCCTTCCTCCCGTGCCGAGCCGGAGTTAGCCCGCCCCTCTCCGTACGGGGGCGGGTATTTGTCGCCCTTGGCTCCGACCCCGCCTCCGCAAGAAACGGGGCGAGCCACGGGGGTGGTGTCCGTGGCGGGGGAGGTGTCCGTGGGGCGGGAGGCAGCCGGGAGAACCGACGGTGATGTGTCAAAGTGTGCCTCAGCGGCTGTGCTTGAGTAACTGCGCCGCCGTAGACAAAGTCATCGTCCTGAAGCGTGGTGAGAAGCTCCTGTATTTCCTAGGTGGAGGTTTTTCAAAACTGCCCTTACGGGCTTACGGGGGGCCTTCTGTTCCTGTCAAACTCCTGCTCCTCGAAATGCATTTTCTCTATTCTTGCAACGGCTCTCTGTGACGATTTCAGAACTGTGAGGAGCGTGACAAGATATTGAAGAGAGTTCCGAAGTATTTTAATAAGTCCCAATATTCCCAACCGGTTAATTACATGCATTACTGTTCGCTGGATCAGTTCCATAAGACACAAGTTTCTAAACCAAAGCCAGTGACACAAAAAAACCCAAAACAACAACAACCACCACCGCCACCAAAAAATCCCCAAACAACAACAAAAAAACCCAAACCAAACCAAAACAAAAAAACTAAACAACAAAAACAAACCAAAACAACCAAAAAAAAAAACTCAAAAATGTATAAGAGCTTTACAGTTTTGTACAGTGGAGGGAACTGAATTTTCTATCCAGTGTATTTCTAGGCAGGGTCTAGGATAAACTCGGGTGTGAATATGCACTTAGAAGTGGCTGCTACAAGCACAAAAGGCGGCAGATTCAGAGTAGGATTTTAAGCGTTTTTACCCAGTTCGTTTGGTCTCGTTTTCCACAGGCTTCTTGCACGGGCAAATCTTTTAGACAAGATGTCTCCTCTTTTGGTTGAAGAAGCCACAGGTATTTCTACTTACCTTTGCTTATTTTTCCGCTTGTTTAAACTTGTTACCTTCAGACTGCCAAAAGGCAGCTGGATCGAGATAAAACAGTTGCTTAAATTGTCTTTGTGTTTACTTTAGTTAGAACATGGTATTATTGTCAGACTTTTGTATCTTCCCCTGTGTAACATTTAGACTCCTATCAAGCAGATTCTTTTTTTTTTTTTTTTTTGCAACTGCTAATCCCAGCTCTCTCAGCTCACACTAGGGAATCCTGTGGGAAGCAGCAGCTGTAGAACCTAAACCTAGGACTCTGTAAGACCTTTGTGTTCAGCAGTTTGAACTCGTATCAGCCATGTTCCTCAGTCCAACAGTTTGCTCACATCCTAACAAGACATACTTTTTCTCTGCTTTGTTTTGCTGGAGGCTAAGAGCATACTCAGTCAGATGCCGTGTTCAGATGACTCACCAGTAACTTGACCGCAATGTATAAAGCCTAAGGTAGCATTTGGCTGGTGTGAATTATATGCAAGTTTTTTGTTACACGTCTGTATGAGTTTTGAGGCGTATGGTTTGAAACACTTTCGGATTGTTGCAGTAGCTCCACCTTAAGTGGGTAATTTTTGGGAAGAGCATTGTGGATGGATTAGAACTGCAGTTGGAAGAAGGAAGTTTGTGCTTACCACCAATCAGCATATGCCCAGCCAGTGATCAGTGCCGCTCCCTGGCCAACTACCCCTCCCACCCCTCCCGGTTTTATCGTTCAGCATGATTCCATATGGTGTGGGATATCCCTTGGGTCATCTGGAGTCAGCTGTCCTGGCTGTGTCCTCTTCCAACTCTACTTGTGCACCCCCAG